GTACCTTATTCTCCGCATCACCAGAATCATCGATATAGTCACTGTCATTTCCTCCTTCAATATCAGCTATACCATTATAGCCTTTTCCTTTGCCTCTGCCCTTTCCTCTGCCTCTTCCTCTTCCTTTCCCAGTTCTTCCTCCATCTCCGTCGCTGGAACCACCATCCTCGCCATCACCATCTCGGCCACCCTTTCCGTGTCGATCCGATTTTTTCCGCAGTCGGTCAGAGTCGGCGTCACCTGAGTCGTGACCTCGCCCATCTGAAGATGTATCAGAAGTTGATCATTACCCTGAGACTCTGGTAATAAGAGCAGCTTACCTGCCCTTCCACGATTTCCTCCAGCGGATCCATCTCCGGTACTTCTACCGTCTCCTAGTCCTCCTGATCCAGATGGCTGGAGAAGAGCGTTAGTGTTAGCCTAAAAGTATGTAGCTTATTCTGGAAAATTCTGCTAAATTCAGAAGCAAACTCAAATTTACTGCATTTTTGAGCCAAACAAGCTTGCTTTAAGATTTGAGCTATAGTGCAGCTGCAGGAAATTCTCGTCTTACATAGCAAGTAAAAGGAAACTCGATTTACTGAAATCACTAACCTGTGCATTAGCAAGATTACCACTAGATTCTTTGTAGTTTCCAGTGTGGACAGTGATGTTGATCTGACCAGGCTGTGCTGGGCCCTCTCCTCCAGCGTTAATGACGTTGTTATTGTTTCCACTCGCGTTAACGTTAACGAGAAGATGTTGAGGGCCACCTTGTGCACCTAAAATAAGATGAAATATATTTTCTCAAATAAGAAAAAAAGTGAAGATGCCTTTAAACTGACCTTTGTCCGCTGCTGCACCCGTTACTGACGTTTCAGCTATACGTTGACGGTTCTGCGCGTTATTCACATTACCCCAAACACTTCTGGCCCACGTAGACCAACTGAAGATTGAATTTAAAGAACACTTTGGAATAAGAGAAGCAAGGAATACTCACGAGGAACTCGTCCAGCTACTCCAGCTAATCGCTTTCCATTCGTCGCTAGTCTTGAAATGCATGTTATTATTTGTGAAAACTATACTTTCGACTAATAAGTGGAGAAATCTGGTCAATCACAGGAAAAGTGCAAGGCGCGAACTGGTCCCAGTCACTAATTGTATCAATACGACCAGATAACATTATGTTGTCTGAATTCAGTCATGCAAAATCACGATAAAAGTTTTTCAGCAGTGAAAGGTTGCACGAAAACTAGTCCCTACACCTATTAACACCTGAGAAAACAAGTTCAATTATGACGGCGACGAAGTATAGGCTAATAGTCTCTGGGGAATGCCCTTGTGCTTCGTGAAGGCGAAAACTGATCCTCGCGTATTCTATTTACATCGCTGCTAGTTGAACTTTTTTCTAGTTTGTGTCTCAATACATGCCAATAATTTTCTTTATTTCGTGCAGTATTACGCAAATCATTTTCTTATTTCTACTCGTTCAATGACAATTCTACGAACGTGTTATTCAGGAAATCCACCGG